TCTCGTATTTATGTGAATTATGAATCCAAGTGTTGGAGGTGTGGACACCCAGATGCAACTTTTTTTCATATGTGGTGGACTTGTAAGGTTATTAAGGCCTTTTGGATACAATTGTGGTGGAACTTACAGCAAATCTTTAAAAAAAGGATTATCTTTCTCCCACAGCTGTTTCTTTTAGGTATTGTGCAAGATTTAGATGTAAAAGAGACAAATCTGTTGCTTTATTGTTTAACTGCTGCCCGTTTGCTGATAGCCCAAAATTGGAAGAGCCCAATTCTGCCTACAATGGAAGACTGGAGATTGAAAGTTTCGAATCTTGCTGAAATGGCAAAGATTTCGGCTTATCTGAAGAACCACTCGAACGAACAATTTTTATCAATATGGAGAAGATGGATTGTTTATATTCAAAAGAAGCATAGAGTGGTAGATATTTTGTGGAGTTAGAGATATTAGTATTTGTTTATTTATATATGAATATTATCCTGGGATTAGGTTTGGGAAGTCCGGGGGTGGTGGGGGATTTTACTTTTTATTCTGTTTATCTATGATTATGTTTGTTTTTTATGATGAAAAATAATAAAATTTCTTTGGAAAAAAAAATGCCAAATCCAGTCTGAACATCTGGCTGACTGTGCGATGATCCATAATAATAATAATAATAATAATAATAATAATAATAATAATAATAATAATAATAATAATAATAATAATAATAATAATAATAATAAAGTTGGAAGGGACCTTGGAGGTCTTCTAGTCCAACCCCCTGCTCAGGCAGGAAACCCTATATCATTTCGGACAAATGGCTGTCCAGTCTCTTCTTAAAAACTTCCAGTGTTGGAGCATCCACCGCTTCTGGAGGCAGGTTGTTCCACTGGTTAATTGTTCTGACTGTCAGGAAGTTTCTCCTTAGTTCCAGGTTGCTTCTCTCCTTGGTTAGTTTCCATCCGTTGCTTCTTGTCCTGCCTTCAGATGCTTTGGAGAATAGCTTGACTCCCTCTTCTTTGGGGCAGCCCCTGAGATACTGGAACACTGCTATCGTGTCCCCCCTCATCCTTTGAAGATAGCAAAGTCCAGATTTTTGACAGAGAGGACTGCTGGTTTCAAAGAGGGATCCAAGAGGCCATCTATCTCCAAATTGAACAGCCCTCCCTCAACAGAGGGGGAGGGATACAACATCATCTCTCTCCAGTCTACAACACAGTCTTTTCAGCAGTTCTAAGAAGACTCCACACCGATTTACACCACTCGGGTGACCCTGAGGACAGAGACACACCTCCAAGTGGCCTCAACGACTCTCTAAAAGGATGCAAATGACCAGCTATCTGCAAGGAGTATAAATCCTTCCCTTCCCTTCAGAGTTGCAGAAACGTCTTGGATAAGAAGCAAAATGTCTTAAAAAACAAAACAAAGTCCAGTTGCCTCTTGAAAAAAAAAGCACCTTTGGGACAATTCCATTTAATTATTTAAAATATTTTTTTTTAAAAAAAATATGTTTTGTTACTCGCATCTCATTTTGCCCTTCCTTTTGCATCCTTTATTTCATGAATCTATTCCACCATTTCTTCAGTATCAGTGTAACTCTTATCTCACGGTCCTGCAGTGTGTTGGCCGCGGTGAGTTGTCCTTAGGCCCCTTTTGCAAGGTCAAGAGGTAGGGGCAGCCATCAAAACTTTGGAACTGGGTTGTAAGTACCCCTGGGGAGGTCCGCTATAACTTCGAAGCAACCAGTCGTAAGTTGAGAACTACCTGTAGTTAACCGTAAATCCGTTTAACCGTACATCCGTTTTGAGAAAATCTTAACAGATAAAAATTGATTTCAATTTTGTGGGGGGGAAAGTCTAAAGGAGAATGTTGAAAACAGGACATATAACGCAACTTAAGTTACAAGTTACTTTTTCCAGTGCCATTGTAATTTCGAACAGTCACTAAACAAACAGTTGTAAATCAAGGATTACCTGTAGGGCCTTGGTTCCCACCCGCCCTGTCTCACTGAGGTCCTGCTCCGTTCTCGCAGATGGGGCCCAACATCAAAGAACTTTTCCGCCTTCTGGAAGACTTCATTGACGTGGTCGGCTTCCGCATGAAAGACTTTCAGGATTCTTATCAAGCGACCGACAACCTGGGTGAGTACGTTGGACCGATCCAAGGGTCCCCCTCCCCCCCTGTTGATTTCCAAGTGGTAGGATCCAAAGAGTGGGACGGTGGGTACCGTTTCCTCCATCCAAAGGGAGCTTTCCGATGCAGGAATGCTGATTTTCTCAGAAGCAGAACGAGCTGAGGTCAAACCACAATCAGTTTGGGGTGGGGGTTTGACCCAGTTTGGGTTTAATGGGAAAAGAGATGCCCAGCGGGTCTGATTTATGCCTCTCCTGGCGGTTTACACACACACACTCACACACACACATGCAATGTAATAAGATTTAATGGTGCGGATGGGCACGCGAAACGCAAAGGTTTAAAACGCACACCGTAAGGCAATAACGGCGATCGTGCGATTCCCACAGGCGGAGAGGGAATAAAGTCGTATCGGAGCATAGAAAAATGCAAAGCGGGGAAATGGCTACTCAAGGGCATCTAGATGTTCTTCAAGGTTTGGGGTGTGGATGGATGGTTTGGGCTGATTGGTCCCTACTTCCATAATTATTAATTGCTGAGGGATTTTTGGACGGTGGAACTGTTGTAGGTTTTTGTGTATCAATGACTAGAACGAATTAGATTGTTTCAACTGTTCATTATGGGCTATGATAATTGGGTTTGAATTTTCTTTCTTTCTTTCTTTCTTTCTTTCTTTCTTTCTTTCTTTCTTTCTTTCTTTGTCTCTCTCTGTCCCTCCCTTCCTCCTTCCTTCCTTCCTCCCTCCCTCCTCCTTCCCTTCCCTTCCCTTCTCTCTCTCTCTTTCTCTCTTTCCTTTCCCTTCCCTTCTTTCTCTCTATCCTTCCTTCCTTCCTTCCTTTCTCTCTTTCTTTCTTTCTCTCTCTCTCCCTCCCTCCTTCCCCCTTCCTCCCTCTCTCCCTCCTCCTTTCCTTTCCTTTCCTTTCCCTTTTCTCTCTCTCTTTCTCTCTTTCCTTTCCCTTCCCTTCTTTCTATCTCTCCTTCCTTCCTTCCTTCCTTCCTTCCTTCCTTCCTTCCTTCCTTCCTTCCTTCCTTCCTTCCTTCCTTC